GACAAAGCAAATCCTGTATGGTTCTCCAAACAGGGTCACACTGTCTAATGTCACCAAGCCGAGTCGGTGAGCCCCGGCGTGCTGGTTTGTAAGACGTCTGGTTGTCTGGGCTCGCCTGCAGGCATGCTGGGCATATAATGTCTAATTAGAGGTGTGTGCCCGTTAGCCGGGCTGGAGAGTAGTTTCCCTAACTCACACTCCTTCCTCTGACTTAGGATAAAAATCCATGTGCTTTCTAGGTGAGAATGGTCATCAGAATGCCCAACAAAAACACGCTAAAGCATATGGCAGTCACTTAAAAGGTACGGGTGTGAAGTGGAAATGGTTCTGTTTGATCCAGTGTCGTGACAGTACTTAAAATAGGGTCACACGATTCCTGGTGAAGAACCCTCGCCTTCTGTGCGGCCTGGCATTCAAGGACTCAGAATCTGTCCCCGTTCGAAAACATTGTAAAACCAATGTGCCTTTAAAATTTCAAGCTTTTATGGGGGATTTTTGAGAGCTCTGTATGCGTGGTTTTGCCTGGACTTCCAAGGATTTTCCCCCTAGACTTCCTGAAATTCATTCAGGAATGTAGTCGAGACCCACAGGTTTCAGATTGAGAAATTGTGTTCTAAAAGGATTTGTCTTGAGTGCTATCTGATTAATATTTAAGAAACCATGTTAGGCAAATAGGGACTATGAAAGCGTCAAAATGAGCATTTTAATTTTTTCTTTGTTGGAAAAGGATACTCTTTTTTTTTTTTTTTTTTGGCCCTAAATGAAAATTCCTATGTGAAGGATTTTTGTGAATGGGGTTTCCCTGCATAGCATGAAGTCTGGATACAGACAGAGAATTGGGAAACCAGTGTGCCTCAGATTGTGGGCAAAGTATTTTTAAAATAAAAATCAGAATAAATTAAAATAGCTTGAAAGCTGTGTAAGGGAATTCGGTTTTAAGCCCTTTGTCGATGATGGTGAATGACTATCTTTTTTCAAATACTTTTCTTAATCCTGAGTCCTTGTATGGTATGTAATTGACTTAATTTAGTCCCATTTAGTACAGGTATCTTTAGGGTATAGCTCTTTGTAATTCCCAGCGATACCTTTGCGACACTGTAAGGGGCACGATTCACTTAAGCAGATTGCAGAATTCTAAAAGCAACATTAATTTTTAATACTGTGTATCTTTTAAACTCCGTGCCCTGCAAGGTTCCAGGCCAGTCTCCGCAGAGCACAGGGAGCAAGGCTCCCTAGTTGTTGGGAATTGCTTGTGTTTTCCTCCTTGGAATGAGTCTGTGGCCGCTGGGCCGTTTGGGAACTTGTCCTGTCTGCTGTTTGTCTTTGGTCTGTGCTGGGTGCTGAGTTCTTTTTGTTCTCTAAAACAAAGCAGGCGCAGCTTTTGAGAGTTTAGAAGGAGGCCAGCAACACTTGACATAAAAACATCATAAAGATTAATTGGTAATAACAGTTCTGAAGAGAAAAAGTACTAAGCAGGGGATTAATGTAATAAAGTGAAGACATTTTTTGACCTCCTCCTTTCAGCTAATTTTGGTGGTTGGCCTGCTTGTGTTTGCTCTTGCAAATGTGAATCAGAAACCCCTCACCTTGCAGGGAGAACCATCTGTAAACTGCCAGTTAAGAAGTGTGTTGTGGGTGCTGGGATACCTCAGAGGGCTCCTGAGGTCCCCTGGAGCAGGCAGGGAGGTTGGGGAGGTTTTCCCAAGAACATCACGCTCAGGTGAGGTGTGTGCACTTCTGGCCAAAGAGAGCCCTGAAGATGAAGCTGCTTTAGGGAGGGTGGAGGCTACGAGTGGACAGGGGTCCTGGCGGAGAAGCCTTCCATGGAGGTCTGATTAGTGAGGAGGGGAGAATGAGGTTCATGAAGCTCTTGGTGGCAGGGGGAGGTGAACTGGAAAGAACGGGGTGAGTTTCCAAGTGCAGGGAGCCAGTCCAAAAAGTCTGAGCAACAACAGTAGGATTGGGCGTTAGCCACGTATGGCCATTATTACCTCTTCATAAAGGGTGGCAAAGATGTGGCCATGGGCATCGTTCCCTGGGGTGGATCCCAAGGCCCTCACCTGCTTCCCAGGGGAGGGATGCTTGCGCAAAACCGGGAGGAAAGGGAAGAGCGCTCAGAGCCCTGGGGTCTCTACTTCAAGGAGGGAGAAGACACCCAGGAAGAGGGACAACCTTACTTGGTCTTAGGTGGTGTAAGGGATGACAGAAGGATTGAGAAACATCTTTGAGATAGACCGTTTAAACGGACTCACGAAAAGGCTAAAAAGAAAACGAGAAGCTAGTAACCATGCAATGATCGGAAAAGGTTGTCAGAAGGTATAATCCACCGTAAGGCATCTTGAGGAGTGGTTAATTCCCCTCCTGAGGGTCCACAGCCCGAGAGGGATCGCTTCCTGGTGTATTTTGACAAGCGACAGAATCCTAAAGCCAAAATGAGGCGATGTTTGTTTGAGGAATACAGTAAAGAGCAGGGCCCGTGTGGTTTCGCAGCTGTGGGTTTGTCCACAACAGCAGCTGTCTGAGCTGACTGCTGACCCGCGGGTTCCCAGGTCTTCTGTGGGGAGGGGCATGGCATTCAGCAAGGGTTTGGAAACCTTTTCCCTCCTTTTTAAAAGGCAAGATAAGGAAAGATAAACAATTGCATCACCATTTATACGGTATTTTGGCATCTTCAGACCGTCTTATTCTAGGTGATTTTTAGTAACGGAAATCATACTGCATATATATTTTCTCATCTGGAATTATCATAACTGCATTACCATTTACAGTGTATTTTCATAACCATATTATTTTAACCAAGATATAATTGACATGGAAAATTTATACAGTATTATATTAGTAACATATGTAATGTTATGTATTAGTTTGTGTTATATAATAGTTATTATCTTATATGGTATTATATCTACTTATACGTTATTGTATATATTTATATACACAGTGTATATTATGTAAGTAGTTACCATCATCACCACACATAGTTACACATTTTTGTGTGTGTGTGTGTGTGTGTGTGTGTGATGAGACCTTTTAAGATTTACTCTTAGCAACTTTCCAATAAGCAATACAATATTAATAACTAGTCACCATGCTGTACATTTCATCCCAGGACTTACTTGTTTTGACCACTTTCACCTGTTTCACCTACACACTCCCTGCTCACTTCTGGCAACCACTAATCTGTTCTCTGTATCTATGAACTTGGGTTATTGTTTCTTTCTGTTTTTGACATTCCACATATAAGTGAGATCATATAGTATTTGTCTTTTCTCTGTCTGACTTATCTCATGTAGTGTAATGCCCTTGAGGTCTATCCATGTTACCTCAAGTGACCCGTTTTTTATGGCTGAATAATCCATTCATCCATGGATGGAAACTTGGGTTGTTTCTTTGCCTTGGCCATTGTCAATAAGGCTGCAGTGAACATGGGGGTGCAGATATCTTTTCAAGTTAGTGATTTTGTTTCCTTCAGGTAAATACCCAGAAATGGAACTGCTGGATCATATGGTATTTCTATTTTTAATTTTGGAGGAGCTTCCTACTGTTTTACGTAGCGGCTGCCCCAGTGTACATTTCCGCCAGTGGTGCATGACTTTTTCCTCTCTCTGCATCCTTGCCAACACTTGTTATTTCTTGCCTGTTTGATAATAGTCATAGTGGTATTTAATGGCTTTCCAATTTCATTGAATGGCTGTATCATAATTTATATAGCAATTCCCCAATTGTAGGATTTTAGGTTTATTCCCTCCCTCTTTTTTTTTTTTTAGGTAAGTAAATCCATGATTTGTAAAGGTGGCTTTCCTGTGTATATGTATATCCTGAGGTTAATACTCAAAAGTAAGCTCACATGGTCCAAAGGTATAAACATTCTTTTTTTTTAATGAATAAGGAATATGGTATGGGTTTATTTTAATTTTCCCATTTCTTGCTTATTTGCCACTTTTATTTAGTTATTTATTGCTCTCTTGTATCTGTTCCTTACTACTCTGTTTGGAGAGGAATGTGATTGTATAGAATCAGCAACATGTGATTTTGGAAACTGAATCCTAGTTGGCAAACATTTATTAAACCCCTACTGTATACCAGACAATGACAATAAGAAGGTGGCTGGGAGCAGATCCTAACCTGAAGGCATTCCTGAGCTCACAGAATCACTGTCTTCAGGGCTGGGGGGGTGGGGTGGGGATGTTTGCATTTGCTCTCTGTCTTTAACACCTAAGAGCATCTTGCCTTTAAAAGTTATTCAGTATTTGAGGAATGACTACAGGCGGGCTAAAGAGGAATGAGTACAAATATTAAAGACACTCATTCGTGGGAAAGGTTTCTTTATTAAATAATTCTCTGTTCAGTAATTTCACGTGGTGGCTCATAGTCTGTATTTTTAGTCATCCATGGCAAAACTTCACTGGGGTAGCTGGGCTGGTTTATTTACATTTATTGAGCACCAGCTGTGTACACATGAAACCCGCCCTCCAGGTATCTGTAATCAAGGAAGCAGGCTAGCAGATGAGAAACTAGACTCCAAGAGAGATGTGGAAAGTGTGAGAGAAAGGATGGGCTTCCAGGTGAAGTTAAGCCACAGAGTCAGGCCAGGCGGTTATCTAACCTGTCTGGGTTTTGGTTTCATGGACATTTAAAGGAAAAGGCTAGACTGAGCCCTAAGATCTTGTTTTCAGACATGCAGTTCTTTGATGCTTGTGACTTTCTCAGACAAAGGTTGGGGACATACTGTTTTTCAAAACACAAATATCGTTGAACTACAGACCCCAAAAGAGATATTCCAAAATTAAAGAGATGTATTAGGTCCTTTTTTCACTTATTAAGTCCTTTTAGTAGGACTTAATACTTCAAAAGTGTTCATTTTGTTGTCTTCCTGAGCTGTAATTTAGATTCCTTAGTGTACTTGAAAATATTGGTTAAACATTAAAATTGTACTAGTTGGAATCCTTGAATATCACGAAGTTAAATATTGACCTATTTTATTTTTCTTTCCCTTCCAGCTGTGTGGGGCAACTTCGTTAATATGAGGTAACTTTTTTTTTAATAATTTGGATGTTGTGGTTTGGGTTTATAGACACATTTCAGTTATTACAGATAGACTGTAGGTGGCATGGGCGAATTGAAAAGTTTAAAAATGAAACTTCTTTTTTGCTATTCACACCTGAGCTTTGTCTTTTTTTCTTATGGATATTCTCCAGGAATACATCGGATTTTACTATTTACTCAGGGTATTGGCTGGCTTCTCTGCATTGCCCACCTCAGGATCCCTTCCCTCCTTTTGTACACTGGAAAGGGTTGACCCTAGCTTCTGCCCTGCTAAAATGTGATTGTGTTCCTGGGTGGCTTGAACAAAGCATATGGTGGGGGTGTGCCTTTTCAAAGCCTTTTGAGAAGAGAGCATCTGTAGGAAAGCGCGGCTGGCCCCAGGCTCTGGAAGCAGACCCTTGGATTCTGCAGCCACCTGTTTATCTCAGGACTCAGCCCTGAGGAGCCTTCCGGCCCCAGGGCAAGTTATTTGTGCTTTGTGATAAACCTAGGAGGGACACTCGGAAGAGTAAAATCCTGTGTTGATATTCTTAAAAAAATAAAAAAAGAAAATTAATAAGCACTCATTGTAAAAACAAGTCTGCTGCTGTTAGTACAGATTTACATTTAAAGAAAAATTTGTTCCACTTTGTATTCCTTGGTAGTAAAAATAAAAGAGCAGCGATCACAATTGCGGTGCTGGTGGTGAGCTTGGCAGTCAGATGCCCCTGCACTGGGCTACTAAGGTAAAGCGTTGCCGTGCCCCCACCAGGCCTTACGTATTGAGTAGATTTTGCAAGGTCAGTGAGGTGGTGTGGATATGATTCCTACTACCTGGGCATGAGTATCTCCTGACAAAGACTTTCTGTGTGCGGCTAAGAGGGGTGCTCAGATCTCATTTAAAGGAACTCTTGTTTTTTTTACTTGGCAAAACTCCATTGTGCCTCAAATCCCCAGGAAAGCCCAGCAGAGAGACTTGGACTCCTATAGACAAACTTCCTGCCTCCAGTTTAAAATCCCGTGTTGAGCATAACATGAAAGTGAGATTATTTTAGTGGACTAGAAATAACCCTTACAAGGTAGAGGTGAGCCGGTGAGATGTATTGGAGATTTCCTCTCCTCCATTGTCTTCCATTACTCGGGTGCACCCCCTTCTGGAAGGAATCTGGACCCGGAGACTGATGTTTTTGGGAAGGGGAGTGGAAGTTGGTCTGCAGCCTTTGGTTTGTGTTGTCATTTGTTCAGAATTAAGTCTTGAGGTCATCAAGCCTCTCAATGGATCTCAGTTTCGCAGCTTTCTACTCAACAGGTCTATCCAGGAAAATGGCGAACTCAAAATCGAGAGCAAGATTGAAGAGGTTGGTTCCCTTTCCTGTATTTTGCTCCTGTTTTTTTGTTATGTTTGTCAATTTCAGTTCCTTCTCTTGTGCTTGTACCTTTCTTGGGGAAGCCTGATGCTAACCCGTGATTTTGAAAACATCTCCTCAGGAATTACTCCCTTATTTAGAGGAGCCTTTCCTCTGGGTCAGCATTTGTCCATTTGATCAAGGTGTGATGTACTGTAAATTCTACCTCAGAGGCAAAATGGATTTATGAGTTTGTCTGACTTTTTAAGTGACCTTCCCAGAATTTTTTAGAGAAAGAGAAGTGAGTACCTTCACCAGGAATGGAGGCCAGTGCCAGCATCCGCTCACCCCAGCAGGTGCTGTAAGGAGAACTGGCCCAACTTGGATGCTGGAACTTGGGGAACATAGGGAGTGTCCATGTGCATAGATGGGGAAGCCCATACCTGCTTACGGAAAGCTAGCTCCTCTGGTTGATTATCTACCTTCTACTTAAAAATAATTGCTTGTGTTTTTAGTCAGTTAATTGTAGACATAGGTACGCAGCTGTAACGTGGGCTGCAGGAGGAGAAGGGGAGTCTGTCATTTTGATCTGAAGCCAGATGTCACAGTGGCAGGGATGCTCTTGGATTGCTCTTGTCCTTCTGCCCCAGCTTGCAGTGTTAGCACACAGGGATGTGGGTCTGCTCACAGCCTGCCCTCCATTCATGTGCTGAGCAGATGACATGGAGATAATGTACAGAAACAAGAGATTAAGCTTTGAGGACAGCATTGAGGGAATTCTTTCTCCTGAGAAGAAGAGGGCGGTATTGAGCTGCCTGAGGTGAGCCTCAACCACCTTGCTTGTTGTAAGGAAATTGAAAGGTTTATTTTCTCAGAGACTTAACTGTCAGTAAAGTAAGAGTTCCAGCATGCAGTGTATCACCTTGCTTCTTGACTTGTGATTCAAGTGATATAACGTAATTTCAAAGTGGAAGTGGATAGAAGAGGAAGTTAAAATCTGTTTTGCCTGATGTCGTGCCCATGTGGAACATCAGAGAAGGGGGGAAGTGGTGGAGAACTGTCTTTGCTTCAAAACTGATCTTGGTTATTTTTGTTTTAGATCGTTGAACCACTGAGAGAGAAAATCAGAGATTTGGAAAAAAGGTACGTGCACTTTTGGAGGTTTTTTGGAAAATACTTCTTTCTTAGTGACTTTGTCAGTATCTGATACAAATTCATCTCAGCTGTATAATTAATTCTTTTTTTTTAATCTGTGTTATTCCATAATATGAAAAATACCAGGCACTTTCAACACAGGAACTTTTCTGTGAGAAGGTAGATGTTTACTGTAAAATTTGGATGCAATGTTTTTAAATCTTTTTTTTTTTTTTTTTGCTTTTGTCATTATGAACTATTTCTTATGAAAGCTATGGAAGCTTTTTTGTCTCTAGAAAAAATTATTTATTTTAATAAAGTTATTTTTTCAGGAGTCTTCCTAAAGCCCAACTACACAGATCCTGCTTTAAAAGTCCTTCCTCTATTACCCTCTGTCAGTTTGATTTCTACAAACTATGATGATGTAAACTAATGGCCACAAATTTTTTTTTTTTTTTAATTTATTTGACAGACAGAGATCACAAGTAGGCAGAGAGGCAGGCAGAGAGAGAAGGAGAAGCAGGCACTCCGCTGAGCAGAGAGCCTGATGCAGGGCTCGATCCCAGGACCCTGAGACTATGACCTGAGCTGAAGGCAGGGGCTTAACCCTCTGAGCCACCCAGGCGCCCCTTGTTGGGTTTTTTAACCCTGATTTGAATGATACTCAAATAGTCCAAACATTAGAAGAAGAGAAGCTCTAAGGTGTTGTAATCTTCCTTTTCCAAATTCTGTGACTTTCTCAGTTCCTGCAAATTCATGGCATACAAGTTGAAGCTAAGTCTTACCTTCTTTTAAGTATTCACAGGGAATTCGTGTGGTTTCTCTCATATATTGATTAGTTTGGGAGAATTCCAGAATAAGAAAATAAAGCTGGAGGACCTAAAACCTAGTACTGTGTGTAAGTACTATAAGAAATTAGGGTCAGTTATTTGCTTGTCACCATACATCAGGAAGGTTCCAGAACTGAGTCCAGATAAAGTGGATGGAAGGGAGGAATCATATAATACAGTGGGAACATATTTGAATCAGATGCCAAAGCAAGTTATGCCTCCCTTTTTATCATGGTCTTCCACAACCCCCAACTCCCAACCCTCTGCCTGCCATGTGTGTCTCTGCTGCACCCACATTCTGTCTCTAAAATAATTGAGCTCCAGGTGCTAGAACTTTTTCCCTTGAGTTTACTGGGGAAACTGTGTGTCCAGAGTTGGTCTTCAGAAGTTTAAAAAAGAAAAGTAAAAACACTCACCCAGCATTTATGTAATGTTTTGTTTTGTTTTGTTTTGTTTTGTTTCTTTTCTTGGGATGAATTAGGATGATCTGCATTGGGATTGTAGGAACCTTTTGTCAAGCCCAGATTAAAAAGGAGGAAATGGAAAGCTAGTTTTTCTTTGGGTTCAGTATTTTCAATAAATGATCAAAGAGAACTAAGGGTGGAGAAGAGTCATCAAACAAAATGTGTTCATTCGTTTTCTTCTTGTCTTCAACTGATAGTTTATATGCTGTCAGGAAACTTAATTTCAGCTCTTACAGGACAAAAAGTTATAACAGATCATGTTAAGTAATACAAATTTGTTATTTGTCCTTTAAATTTTCTTGCCATCATTTGGGCTGAAATTAAATTGTTTTATAACATTGCATTGGGTGGGAGCCAGAAATCCTGCCTTCAGTAAGACTGGAATAATTTGAGAGATTTTAATTAGGAACTAAAAATTGTGTATGGTAAGAATAACCCACCAGGTTTTATGTTGCCCACCCCCCCCTAAAAAAATTGCTCACCATTGATATCTTTTTTAGAGAGTAATATTTGTGAAAAGTGAATTAATTGGATAACTTCCCTAAGGCAATGGTTTACACACATGATCTTTTGAAATTGGAGAATTTTATGATTCTTTTTGATACTTATGTGATGTTCTTTGTTTTTTTCAAATTCGGGAAAGTAAAGCACAAGTATAAATATAATCTTGAAGAATATACCAGTAACTCATTCTTATCAAACTGAGAGTTACCTTTAAGATAGGTGCAGAGGTTAAGTGTTTTCTACTTATTTCTTCTAGTTACTCATCCTAAAATGGTTCTGGTCTGTAGGTTGGTGAGCAAGTCAGGTGACAGATGAGCCAAGGTTGTTGTGTTAGCTAGAAAGTCAAGTATGGACATGCTTTTGTGGTAGAAATCAATGGAGCTCTGTCTGGTTTTATTTTTCCTGAGTGATTTGTATGATAAGAATGATCAAATACCCACCTTGACACGAGCGAGATAAGAACATAACTGGACTATGTTGTCTTGATGTGCTTGTCATTTGGGAGCAAAGTGACCCCCAGGAAATAAGGATATTTTTGAAAAGTAGGGATTATATGTATACAGGAAGATAAATGGGAACAACGCCATTCTAGAAGCCTGAATAAGTGGGTTATGTGAGTTTTTTCTCTTCTGTACTGTATCCCCCATTTCTTGACAGTTTGATTGCCTGCCATTTAATTTCATCTCAATATCTTTAAATGTTCTGTGAATAAATAGCAAGTGATGATGAGAATTTAACTTCTAAGTGCTTCTTGCTGGCTACCTTCATGAACAGGAAGGTTAGAGTCTGGAATGGCATTAAATAATTACTAAAAGATTAATTTCGGGTGGAAAGAAGAGATCCATTATTCAATTCCTGCTTCATTTACCTCCCTTGCTTATCTCTCTCACACTCAGAAATGCAGATTGCAGGCTTCACGCGGGCAGGGTCTTGCCTCTCTGTGTTGTTTGCTTCTGTGTCCTCAGTGTATGGCATAGAATAGGAGCCCAATAAAAAAATTCCTGAATAAATGAATGGATGTATGAGCCAGTACACCACTGCATAGGGTTTTAACCTATTTCAGGTCTTTAAAGAAGCATGTGCCTTTCCCTTGGCCACTTTGCCCAGTGCTGGTAAAGCGCAGGGGGGGAAGTCTCAGTGGCGTGCTAAAGGTATGGCTCAGCTAGCACCACAGCGTAGTCACATCATACAGTCCCCTCACGCAGTCTCCTCAGCGTCACCTCATACAGTCCCCTCACTCTGTCACCTCAGAGTTACCTCATGCAGTCACCTCACGCGGTCCCTTCACACAATCACCTCAGAGTTACCACTCAGTCCCCTCACGCAGTCACCTGAGAGTCCCCTCACGCATTCCCCTCATGCATTCCCCTCATGCAGTCACTTCACACAGTCCCTTTACGCAGTCCCCTCATGCAGTCGCCTGAGAGTCACTTCACACAGTCCCCTCAGAGTCACCTCACCCAGTCCCCTCATGTGAGAGTCACCTCTCACAGTCCCCTCATGCAGTCTCCTTACGCTGTCCCCTCAGAGTCACCTCACACAGTCCCCTCATGCAGTCACTTAGAGTCACCTCACACAGTCCCCTTACGCAGTCCCCTTAATGCAGTCACCTCAGAGTCCCCTCACACAGTCCCCTCACACACCCTCCCAGCTCTGTCATCCGTGACTGCAGGAAGGCAAACGGTGTAAGTGCAGACTGAGGAGGACCCTGATGGAGCTTACCCCTGCTCTTATTTCTGGCTTTGTGTGCCTGACTTCTCTAAGGAAGAAATGAGGGTTGTAAGAGAGTTCTTCCAGCAGTTTAATAACTTGATCATACGTATGAAATCTGAAACTTGGTTGCTACATGTTGAAGAAGAACAAAGCAAGAAGCCCAGCCAGTGTTTTTGTTTATTTTAAAGGTTTTTAGCATACAGTGTTTGAAGTAGGTTTATCAGTCTGTATTCCACATGTGACTGTGTGTCAGGCACTTACATATTTCCTTCAGTGTTATTGAACTGTATTTCCTATAAGAAAACTGTTTGCTATTCTCTCTCCAGAATAAATGGGTGACAGTGGGCAGGTGGGGAGAGGGTCAGCCTGGAAGGAGAGAGACACCGTAGGTGCACCACGTGGCTGCCTGTGGAATTTGGGATTGAGGCCGGATGGTGGATGTGAGGCGCTCGGAGAAGAGAATGGATGTTGGGACCATGTGAGGGGGGCACACAGCCAGTGCTGTGGTTTGCTTGGCCAGCCTCCAGCTAGCTGACTGATGGAGAAAGTATTTGGAGTGACAAGAAGTGTCACTTCACAAACAAGGCATCTGTCAGGCTCCCAGAAGGCTTCCACTGTTCGAGCAGGAAGAATGTGCCCTGCCCCACAGCCGCTGTGAGAACATTCACTTGGCCATTCCCTGCTGCCTGTGGTGAGGACAGCTCCTGCAGGGCAGCCCTCTGGGTCAGGCGCTGTGATTACCCCTTGACAGCAAGAAGCCCTGAGGTGCACAGAGCTCTTGGGGGGTCTGGGTCACAGAACGAGTAAGGGGGGTGGCCAAGGTTCTCACTCACTCCCTCAGATTCGCCCACCTGCCTGCCTGGTTTTGTAGTCTGCAAGGGGAACTTGACCTTTGGAGAATCTGGAAGCTCTTCATAAGGGAATTCATCTGCATCATAAAAGAAAGCCCTCCTGCCCCAAGCTCCAATTTAACCATGTTTCCACTCATCCAAGAGATGAGAAACACTTGCTTCAAGGTCTTCTGTCTAATGACCTGTCATAGTCTGTTCAGTTCAGCGACCATTAAGCAAATGCCTTCTGTATCCCAGCTGGGATGTAGAGGGGATGAGACAGTGCCCCCGGCACCTCTCCAATTAAAATAACGACTGTAAAGTTGGTTTCTCTGAATTTACTAAAAGCACTTTTGTTCCTAACTGAACCACTTAACCACTTTAAGAATGGATATTTCAAATCTGCATTTATCAACTCTCATTTGATCTTTAATCTGCCGCTTGTACTGCCCTGCTCCCAAAACATCAGTAGGGGTTGGGGACCCATGGGACCTTTCCTGGGGGGAAGAGACATTATAAGGTAAGACTTAAGGTGGGTTCAGAGCAGACCATGGGAGGTGGAAAGTGCCTCTTGCCCCGCCATTTTGTCCGGGGGCAGCGGTGCAGAAGGAGATGCTGCAGTTGTGAAGTTGCCCAGAATGAGGAAACAGGCTTAGTTAGTTTTTTCTTTTCTTCCCCTTGCAAGGCACGGTGTCCTGCTTTGGGTGTGTCTGTAACTTCACGCAGCTTCTTTCTTCCTTCCAGACCTCTCCATACAGCATTGTAAGGAGGCCACCACCTCCCTTATGTTGTGTTAGCTCTGGCTGTTCATAGCCTGTACCTTGGTAAATTTTCCCTTCTCCGAGATGGAATCTCTATCCTCAGCTTAATTCCACACAAGAAGTGGTTGCATATTTCTTGAATTCCAATGAGCCAATAACCGCTTGTTCCTACAGCCCTCACTTGGAGTGGATAGAAGTAGCCACAATAATAATGCCACAATTTACCTTTGTTTTGATGGTCGTAGAGAAAATCCTCACAGGAGAGGTTTGACTTTTCTTTTTCTCAACTCTTCTTTTTCTACAGCTTCACCCAGAAATACCCACCAGTAAAATTTTTATCAGAAAAGGACCGTAAAAGAATTTTGGTAAGTTTGTACATCTGATTAATATTTATAATATCAAAAAACTGGCTTTTTAAATAGAGGTATACTTCACATACCATAAGTCACCCACACAGAATATACAGTTTACTGGTTTATAGTGTGTTCACAAAGTCCTCCGACAGCACTCCATTCTAATTCCAGAATATTTTCATCACTCCAGGGAGAAACCCCATCCCTGTTGTCAGCCATTCTCCTCCCAGCTCCTGGCAATCACTGAAACTACTTTCTGTCTCAATGTATTTGCCCATTTTGGACATTTCCGATGAATGAAATGATACAATATGTGGTCTTTAGGATCTGATTTGTTAAACTTGTAGTAACGTTTCTAAAGTTTATCCATTCTGTAGCATAAATCAGTACTTCATTCCTGTCTGTGGCTGGATAATATTGCATATTATGGAGGTACCACATTTTGTTTATCCATTTCATCAGTTGATGGATATTTGGGGTTGTTTCTACTTGGAGGCTATCGTGCATAATGGGGCTATGAAACATAGGTGTACAAGTGTTTTTGCAGACATGGCTTTTCGGTTCTCTTGGGTATATATCTAGTGCCACCGGCTGTCGAGACGAATCATGACCCATTGAATTGTCTTGGCACACTCGTCAAAAATCAGCTGATCAGGGCGCCTGAGTGGCTCAGTGGGTTAAGCCGCTGCCTTCGGCTCAGGTCATGATCTCGGGGTCCTAGGATCGAGTCCCACATCGGGCTCTCTGCTCAGCAGGGAGCCTGCTTCCTCCTCTCTCTCTCTCTCTCTCTCTCTGCCTGCCTCTCTGTCTACTTGTGATCTCTCTCTGTCAAATAAATAAATAAAATCTTTTTAAAAAAAAAAATCAGCTGATCATACATGAAAGTATTTTTCTTCTAGACTTGTAGTTCTGTTCTATTGACCCTGTCTCTCCTTATGCCAGTACCACTGTCTTGGTTACTGTAACTTTATAGTAAGTTTTGAAACTGGGAAGTGTGAATCCTCCCACTTTGTCTTCCTTTTCAAGATAGTTTTGACCATTCTGGAACCCTTATAGTTCCTGGTAAATTTTAGGGTTAGCTCTTGTGTTTGTTAAAAGAAGCCACTTGAGTTTTCGATACAGACCACATTGAATCTGTGGATGAATTTGGGCAGTATTTTCATCTTAATATTGTCTTCTGATCCTTGAACACAGGGTGTTTTTCTGTTTATTTAGGTTTTCATTAATTTTTTTAAGATTCCTTTTGTGGTTTTCAGAGTATAGTTTTACACTTTTGTTAGATTTATTCTAAAGCGTTTATCCTTTCTGATGTTAGCATAACTGGAATTGTTTTTTAGTTTCATTCTTATGTTTTGTATTGCAAGCAAATAGAAATACAATAGATATTTGTATTTTCTTATACCCTGCAACTTTGCTGAAATCATTGGGTTCTAATAGTTTTGAGTAGATTTCTGAGGATTTTTTATGTACTGTTCAAGATTATGTCATCTGAGGTTATGGGAAGTTTAACTTTTGGCTTATCAGGAAGGATGCTTTCTAGTTCACTTCCTTGCCTAATTGTCCTGGCGAGGACCCTAGTACAGTGTTGGATAAAAGTGGGAAGAGCAGACATCCTTGTCCTGTTCCTCATCTTAGGATCCAGAGTCTCATGCTCCATCACCTGAGCCAGCCAGGCTCCCCTCATGTACTCTTAAAAGGACTGTGTATTGTGCTGCTGTTGAGTGTTCTGTAGACATCTGTTAGGTCTAGCTGGATTAGATGTTTTTCAAGTCCTTCTTTTTCTTGCTAATCTTAATAGTTCTGTCCATTATTAGGAGTGAGGTGTTGATGCCTCCAACTATTGTCAAAATCTCTAGTTCTTCCTTCAATTCTCTCACCTTTTGCTTTGTGTATATCTTGGGTCTCTTATTAGGTGCCTAAATGTTTAAAACCCTTATATCTGCTTGATGGATTGACTCTTTTATCATTATAAAATGCCCCTCTTTATCTCTTAACATTTTTTTGTTTTAAAATTTATTTTGTCTGATATCATCATAGCCACTCCAGCTTTCTCACTGTTTCCAAAAAAGTGTATGTTCTACTTTTTTACATTCAGCACATTGTATCTTCCAGTCTTGTGTGTTCCCTTAAGATTTAGTATAGCTGGACCTTGTTTTGTTTTGTTATTTTCCAATTTGGGTGCCTTTTGGGTGGTTGGCTTATTTTAATCCATTCACATTTAATGTTATTACTAACATAGTTGGATTTATAACTGCCATTTTATTTTGTGTTTCCCGTATGCCTCATATCTTCTTTGTTCCTCCGGCCTTCCATTTTTCTTTTCTTATGCATTAAGTAAATCTTTTCTTATGTGACATTTGAATTCCTCTAATTGTTTTTTATGTATTTTGAAAATCCATTTTGTTGCTATTTATTCTAGTGCTTACCATCTGTATTTTATCTCAGGACACACTACTTCAGCTTTATACTGAGTTCCAGTGAGATACAGAAATGCTACTCCCACATAGTTCTGTTACCCAACCCTTCTTGTGATATCATTTCTCTGCATTCTGTGTATCACTTTAGTCCAAGTTACAAACGCCACAGTGCATTATTATAATTATTTTATATTTTATTATTTTTAAATTTTATATCTTGTAAATAAGCTGAGGGAATAAAGGAGAGGAAAGATGTATTTACAGAACTTGTTACATCATCCTTTTCATTTCCCTGTCTAGTTTCCTTCATTGTTCATGTGGGTTTGAGTAAATTTTGATGTCATTGCCTTACGGCAGTACAACTTTGCTCCTACCTACCCTCTTCATGCTGTTGTGGCAAATGTATTTTTTTTTTTTACAAGGCAAATAATATAGTAATATGCATATTATTTTATACAGTTGTTTTTGCTGTTGTGGCAATGGTGGAATATACATAACGCAGTTTATCATTGTGTCATTTAAGTATATGGATCTGTGGGCTTTAAGTATGTTCACATTGTGTTATACAATTTGGTCTTTAAATCGATCAAGAGTGGAAAGGAGAGCGTGCCATTATATATTGTCTTTTATAATTACCTTATTCCTTTATTTGTTCTTACCCCTTTTGTTTCCTCTGTGGGAAATGCTGCCTGGGATCATTTGGCTTCAGCCTGAAGAACATTGTTTAGTTTTTCTTATATGCCGGCTATTGGCAATAAATACTCTCATTTTTTGTGTATCTATTTTTGTTTTTCAGTTTTAGAAGTTTGAGTTCTATATAAAATTCTTGGCTGACAGTTTTCTTTCTTTTCTTTGAATGTGTTACCCCACTGCTTCCTCCGCTAATTGAGATAGACAGTAGGCTTTTGGTCATGCTGAGGGTCCCTTGTGCGTGAGGAGTCCTTTTCTTTGTCTCCTGTCTACTTTCTGTGGGCCAGTGCCACAGTCATGAGTTCATAGCTTAAAACAACAGAAACTAAAATTCTCCCACTACTGGAAGCTAAAATTCTGATGTCACGGTGTTGGCAGGGCCGTGCTCTCCCTGAAGTTTCTAGAAGGAAGTCTGTTTCACGCCTTTCTCTTAGCTTCTGGTTGTTGCCACTGGTTCCTGGATTCCTTGCCTTGTAGAGACACATCCATCCAGTCTTTGTGTCCATCATCATATGGTGTTCTCCCATGTGTCTCATACTGGATCCACAGTTTACCCTACTCCGGCATGACTGGATCTCAACTGATTACATCTGCAGCCACCCTGTTTCCAGATAAGGTCATGTTCTGAGATTAAGACGGATATAACTTTTGTAGGGCAGTATTTGACCCAGTCCAAATGCTTACAGAATTTCCTCTTTGTCTCTGATTTTCAGCATTTTTAGGATGATCTGAGTCCATGCATCTGTGTTTGCATTTATCCTGCTTGCATGGAGTTTGTGCAGCTTCTCGAATGTGTACATTCATATGTCCCGTGAGTCTGGGGAACTCTTCAGCCATTATTTCTTCGACTGTTTTTTCCGTTCCTCCCTTTCTTCCTTTCTGGTGCTCCCATTACATGAGTCTTGGTGTGTTTGTTGGTGTCTCGTACTGGTCTGAGGCGATCCACTTCCCTTTCTTTTTTCCCTCTGCTCTTCAGGTTGCACAAACACTCAATTTATCCTCAGCTTTGCTTTCTTCCTTCTGACACATCCAATCAGTTGTTGACTCTCTGTCATGAGTTTTTCTATACTTACCAACCCCTAAATTTACATTTGTTTCTATTTTGTATTTTTTTCTCTTTTTAGTCTCTGTTAACTTCTGGTTTCCTTCCATTCTCCCGAACTTGTTTATGCTGGCTGACTTGAGGACTGTTGAAGGTGACAGCTGGGCCCTGACATAGGCAGTTTTTGCCTCTTGGTGGTTTTCCTGGGTCCAGTCCCTGGGTACTCTTCTCCCCTTTCACCAAGCCTTGTTTTATTTTTTCTTGTTTATATACTTGTTTAGTGATTTGGCTGTTCTCCTTCAGTGATGTCTGCTCCCCTGGAGTATGGGACTCTGATGGTTGCTGCCCAGAGGCCACAGCCTTGGTGATGGACACTGTCACCCTGGCATCCAGCAGTTCTAGCAGGCTCTTGTTGACCATCTCGTAGCCTGATTGCTCTGTTAAGCTGTCTGCCTGTGTGGTATCACACAGTAACCAGTAGGCCCCAGTAATTGCTAGTTGAGCAAGCTTGCTGTAACCAGTGCTTTGCATAAATTGCTTCTCAGTCTGATCCCGTTAAATTCTGGCCCCTTTGCAGCGATAGATTTTTAGGCCAGTCTTTGAGGTTTGCTCTGACCCCAAGAGGACTCTTGGGCCTGTCTTTCCCTGGCTCTCACTACTAAACTGGCTGACCTGGGGCTAAGCTTGTCCTCCTAGAACTACCAGGCTCCTTTCTATTGCTTACCACTTAAATCTCCAGGGTTTTTGAGATAACATTTAGGCTTGAACTTCTCCACTTTCTCTTTCAAATTAAGTCTCTTTCTCTGGGGAGAGCTTTAGAGCTCCTGTGTTTTTATTCACTGCCTCATCCCCCAAGGGGAAACCTCTGAGCCAGGACTGTGGAGAGGAGGGAGTGACTTTCCTGCTTACAAGCAGGGGGCTGGCAGGAGCAGTACCCCTGGTCTTCTTGCCTTGCTTTTCTGGGCGTGGAATCCACTCTGTGAGTGATCTCGGGCAAGGGTGACCACAAGCCCATTACTTCAGTCACAGTGTGCCATGCCTGGACTAGAGCTTCTGCCATGGGAGCAGGAGCTGGAGGAGGAAGGTCTCTTAATCACTTGGCTCACGCCTCACTAATTGAGCCTGTGTGGCTCAGGGGGCTGGGGGTGGGGGATGAGAAGTGTGGGTGGCCTGCCCCTATCTGGTGAGATACCATTATCTTTTGACCAGGAGCACCATTGTCTTGGCCCCAGCTAACAGCACCCACTCTGAACTATGAGGGTGAAGGGTAGAAGGTGGGAGTGGGCCATGGCTCCAGTGTCACTGATTCTGTTCTTAATGAATTTCAGTAGATTTTCTTGCATAAATGTTTCTTCATTTGCTGTGTACCCTTAGGACTATTTCCGGAGACTTTAAATGGTTAGGCTTTTGAATTCTCACCAGTTACCTTTCTTTTGCTGGGGGACAGGTCTGTGGAACGCCTCACGTTGCCATTCTATAAGAAATGTTTTATCTGTGACTTTGATACGTAAATGGTTGGTACACAAGGTGGTTTTTTTGTTCTTTTACCTGCTATTTCAGCTGTAGGACTGTGTATCCCAAACACGGAAGTACTAGTCTTAAATCCATATTAAACTGTGTATACCCATAATCTCCGTTTTCTTCTGGAAGTTACGTAAATCTTACCCTGAACAGACTCTAACATCTGTTATATTTGTATGACCATCTTTTGGGATTATTTCTACCATATCAAAAATGTGTAGGCACTTAAGTGTGAATTGAGAAATACATCTGTGTCTTCAGCAGCAGAGAAAAATTAATTTTTTCAATCTTTCTGCTGCCACATGTCAGAATGATCAGAATATTTGATGTCCCCCATTAACATATGAACCCTGCACAGCCTTGCAACGGTTATTATTATATCCCTGTCTGATCATCTTCCCATCAATGCTGAGTATTATGAATTTATTTCACTTTTCACACCAGCACAATAAATGGGCTGAGCATCCTTCACTCCTCGGCCATCTCCTAGGTTAAGCCACATTTCAGAGTCATCTGGTGCCACGTTGTTGCTTAAACCCAAAGCCTTTTCAGTGGTTGTGGGTGCCTTGGCACAAAGAAGGGGTTTGTTACAAAGGCATTCTTCTTGCTGATGTTACCGAGCAGCCTGAGTTTGATTGCCTCCCTTGAACTGGACCAGGTTCTCCTCCTGTGAGCTCCCACAAGAGCAGGAAGTACGGGCAGTTGAGATGAGCTCATAACTGCAGAGCCATGCGAAGCTGCCTGGGGTCCATTCAGTTCCCCTGGAAGAGGTGTCTCCCGTCCTTTCTTCTTACTATCTTTTTGGGGGGTTAGCTCCTTGTTATTCAAAGGGTATTGCCTGGGTTTGGCGATTCGTTTTTCCGGGGGATGCTAGTAAGTGATGATTTCTGTTTGAAATGCTTGCCTATTGGGCTGAAATTGATTAGTGAGAGACATTGTATAACCACCCAGCTATGTTCCATAAATCTTTAAGTGTTTTCGATAGAAAGCACTTGCTCAAGAAAAACAGTTCAAATGCATTTCAAGCAAGGCTGAGGTGCTTCCAGCACGTTTATATTACCACTAAAACTAGCGAAATGTTGGAGGCAATCGTGTATAATTTAGTATACTGCATTTCTGCTGGCTGGGAGTAGTTGCTTGGTTATTTTAGGTGTGGAGATAAAGTTAGCATGCGACAGAACATCCCAGTTTAAGAAATATTTGCATATAGATATAGAGTTACATTAAAGAAGGTCAAATTTCTTTGAAGAGATGTAATTTTTCTGGTTTATGAACTGTGGAAGGTTTGGCAAAATGCAAGGAAATGAAGGCCAAATAAAATGAATGTTCACCCCTCAAGTTAAGCAGTCATAGAGCTAGATTTGGAATTCATGTGTTTTTCCTGAAAATTCTGTTGTCAGGTCATCATTCAGGTATACAGGTGAGATGTAGGCAGGCTGAGGGTAAAGCATGAACCAGACAAATCTATAGGTAGTGGAGAGAATATGAGATTAGGAAGATTGTGAGCTTATTTTGTCCTCACTAGTGATCTGGGGATTGTGGTCAGAAACTCTCATCCCTTGGGTGTCTTGTTTCCTATTTGCGAAGCAGAGGATCTGGGAAATGGGGCTCTCCGTAAACAATAAATACAGCTGATGGAACTCTGTGGAGCTTCAGGACCTTCCAGCCATCCGCATTCTCAACCGTGATACAGCTGACCCTTGAACTACTGGGGGGCGAGAGGCGCTGGCCCTCGGTCCCCCACTCCCACGTGCTATTGAGAATCCGCCTGTACCTTGAATCTTCGCCTGCTCTTGACTGGCCCGCTTACCATAACACGGACAGTCAGTTCACACGTGTTCTGTGTGTTACGTGCATTACATATTTTGTTCTCACACGAAAATAAACGGAGGAAAGGAAAATGTTACAAAGAACATCGTGAGGAAGAGGAACTGCAGTCACAGTCCTGTCCTGTGTGTTTCAGCACACAAATCGGCCTAAGAGTGGAGCCATGCAGTCCACACCCACGATGTTCACGGCCCAGCTGTGTGTGTATTGTCGTCAGAGCATATGCAAAGGTCCGATTGGTGTGGATGGGCTCTTCCGTGGCTGGCGTGACCCCTCCCTGTCCCCCAGATGGTCCTCCTTCGCCCCGGGCTGCTTTGCTCTCACCCATGGTAAACATTTGACTTATTCAGATTTTATCTGCACTTCATGGCAAACCAAATGTTTTAAAACCATACACCTAGGGTTTTATGTGTTTTGTTTGGTTTTTGGTTTTTGGTTTTTCTTTTTCGGTAAGAGCATTGGAAGAATTGGCTTTTTTTTTTCCCTGGCATTAATTCTTTCAGTTTGGAACAGGAGGGTGAGGTGAACGCAAGTTTTGATGGCAGAGCAGGCGGCGCAGAGAATAGAACAAGACAGAGAGGCGGGCTCCATGGCTGCCCTGCTTTCTGGGTTCGTTCTTCTCAAACTCCTTCCTCCCTAAGACGCAGTCTGCTTTCTCCGTCCCCCTCCAATTATACCGTGTAATTTGAATAAAGCCTTTCTATTAGTTTAAACAGCGTCTTTCAGTCGTGATTGCCTCTTCATGTTGGTTGTGGTTCAGGTTTGGGAAGCACAGATTGCCGGCCCCTGCCCCCCGAAGCGGCATCCTGTCCCCGTGGGGCCCGCCGGCGGATCCCATGCCGTGGTCGTGCTTCCGCTCAGACAGTGACCAAATGGTAGAACTTAATTACTTTGAGCTCCGGTTTGCAAACAGTATTTCTTATTTGTTCCCACAAGCAGATGGAAGGATAATCATTTTTTTATGACGTTTTTGTGTCCAGTTTAAAAAAAACCACCTGTATGATTTGGTAGTTCACCGAATCGCTGCATGTTGCTAGTCACTTTTTAAAAGAAAGTCATTCTGCAACTTTGCAGGAGCGGTGCTAGAATTAGACAAGTGATGTTCAGGGTCTCCCCATTGTAAAATAAGAACTTCTTGATGTATAATTCTCTGTCAGAGGAGACATTTGGAAACTTGAAGCTATTTTTCTGCACTGTTGACTGGGTGGTAGCCTCCGTGTTTAGGCTGCTTGGAAGTTGGTGGTAGTACGACGACTTGTTCTGGAGCGAAGATGCTGTCCGTAAACTCTTGGTGTCTTCCTTCCTTGCTGTCCTCCCATGTTTTAAACTGTGGCTGCTCCAAAGTCACCCTGTCCTCTTGTGCTTTCTCTGGGGACGTGGGGCGTGTGCAGATAACCGGAGGAGCGGGCTTCGTGGGCTCCCACCTCACCGACAAGCTCATGATGGACGGCCACGAGGTGACTGTGGTGGACAACTTCTTCACGGGCAGGAAGAGGAATGTGGAACACTGGATCGGCCATGAGAACTTTGAGCTCATTAACCACGACGTGGTGGAGCCGCTCTACATTGAAGGTGAGAGAAAGCAGCCAATGACTGCGCGTTGAGCCTGGTGCATGGGCTCCCCAGAGCCACCGGCCCCCAGCCGGAGCCTTTTGCCCTGACCATAGTGAGTGTGAGCTGTGGCTCATTTCTGAAATGGTCTTACTGGGTACAAGGCACTATCATAGTTTCCGTGATAAAGAGCAGTGATGGCAGTGTGGGCATTTGACTGCACCGTCCCCAGCACTCCTGGCTCTGGGCATCATGGGCTATTCCAGAAGGGCTTGTGCAGTGCACGACCCTCCTCACTGCGTAACACATCCGGTGCCTGCCCCACTTGTGTGAAAATACTTCGAGCTTCCTATAGGGTGCTGGCTGGTGTGGAATGCTACTTAACAGTGAAATTCCACATCAGGAGTTTAAAGCCTCAGTAACTTTGCAACTCTCAAGGAGTCAGGGATTGGGGGCTGTAGTGGGTTGGATGGTGGTCCCCAAAAAGATATTTCCATGTCTTAATCCCCAGAATCTGCGAATGTGAGCTTATGTGGGGGAAAAGGTCTTTGTGGATGTGACGAAATTAAGGATCTTAAGACGAGATCAGCCTGGATGCCCCGGGTGAGCCATATTTCCAGTTGCAAGTGTCTCTATAAGGGATAGAATGGAGAAGCCACAGATGCCTGGGGAGAAGTGCAGGTCTCACGAACACCAGGGCCGAGATTGAGGCCACGCAGCCCCAGGTCAAGGACTGCCTACAAGGCAAGGAGGGATTCTTCCCTAGAGCCTTTGAGGGAAGCGTGGCCTTGCCAACACCTTGTTTTCTAGAACTGTGAGAAAAGAAGTTTCTGGTGTTGTAGTTCACCTAGTGTGTGGCCCTCAGCTACAACAGCCTCAGGAGGCTAGTGGGGGGTTGTCTGAGGTGTACTGATGAGGACCTCTACCAGGTGCTTGCTCAGCAGGCCTCTTGGAGTCACGAGCCTTCTCGTTCATTCTCACTGAAATCTGACCAGAGTCCCAAGAGGTAAATGGTATCATCCTCCCTTGCGTATTTACAGAAAACTGGTATTGGGTTGTGGTCTTCCCAAAGCCGTAGGGCTCTTAAGTGGTCAGGCCAGAACTCAGCCTCAGGTTTCAGGCTCCAGAATCATCACCGCCCCCTCCCCACCCCACTGCATGGATGGTGTGGTGTTCTGCTCCTCTGTGTGGCCCTTGTACTTGGAGGTTCCATTTTCGCACCACCTACATCAATGCGGAAAACTTTTTTTACCCATAGATTCAGACTGGCACCTTAGAGTTGCTGAGTATACCCACAGTATGGGTATGCTGTGCTTTATTTACTCCTATCCTTAAATGTTCTCCAGTGTTTTATTATAACTTGTCTTCCTCTGAATTTTATTTCCTTAATAAAAGACTTTGAATGTGAATTTTGCCAAATGCCATGTCCTTATTATTCCGTGTTGTCTGTTTCATAAACACAGGAGTAGCACTGAGCATTATCTTCAAAAACTAACAAAATAGTTTGCTAATTTGATAGAAAACACATGGTTCTTTGACTAAAAAAGTTAGATTTTTTTCCTAACATGTTAAAATTCACAAAAGAAATCTAGTTCTTTTACCTTTTTAAAAAAATTTGCTTTTCGTGGGAGTTCTTCGTAAGAGATTATTAATCATTTGGTATATATTTAACATTTGCCCCTCCCCCGAATTCTGGCTTTCGCCTTCTAATTCTATTGAAATTTTATAATTACAGTCTCACCTGTATATTTTCCCTGTTTGTTGTTCAATTTCTTTTATGCTCTCAGTGTCCCAAGAACAGAGAAATATTGAACCACGGTATTTTTGTTTATGTGATTTTTTTTTTTTAAACATGTGATTATTTAATCTATCAGGGATTTATTTCAGGGTTAGGCTGTTGTTTGTGAGGTGACCCAGATGATCTAGGTAGTAGATATATTGGTTCATGTTCCCCCGGACTTGATCCTTGATTGTGGGTTTGCTGTGAGGGTAAATTGAGGTAACACACATGATAGGGTGCTCACAGGCAGAATTGCAGAGCCTGGGAGTCTACGTGCTGCAGTGAAAGTCCTCGCTAGTGGAATTAAGGTCACGAATCAGCTGGCAGCAGTAGGACACCGAGATTACCTGGGATTATGTGGGTGGACCCACATATTCACGAGTATTGAAAAGTGGCAGCAGCAGCGGGTGGAGGAGCTAATGGGAGAGATGTGGCAGCAGGGATGCCTCCAAGGCCACAGGCGCTAGGGAGGAGGGGGGATTCAAAGTGTGAGGAGGACTTGACCCATGGCCACTGGCTCAGAAGTGGGAGAAAGACTCTAAGTTTGTTAGGGCATCAGTAGATGAATTAGCATACAGTAAAATCCTAGCCTAAAGATACTCCTGTTTATACACGTTCTTTCCCCACAGTCCAGACCAGAGCCCTGGCATAAACACTGGACAAGATGTCCCTCTGTGCCACGTGGAATGTGTAACCCGAGCCCTTGTCAAGGACTTAACACAGGGGCTGGGCCCTCCTAAGTGCTCCCCAGATGATAGATGCTATTATTATTCCTCTTTCCCCTTTCTCTGCACATGGCAGTAAACATTTGTGAAACAAAACTATTGATCACATAATTTTAGTAATCCCGAGAAACCAAAACTGGGGAAAAATGGTATGTTGGTAAATAAGTTATCTGCTTTGCCTCCGAGCTTTGACACCAGCACTACTGGAGACCGTTTCTCCCACTTCTGGCAGTAGACTCCGTGTGGAGACACACCTGAACCCGGCAAATGGACTCACACAAGAAAGGGTTCACACTTCTGCCCTTTGCTGGTGGGGGGCGTGGCCCCCGTGTAGGGGAGCAGTGGACATTTCTCCACCTCCATACTCTAAAGTCTGTTTTTCACTTTGTCCGACCTTAGCATAAGATTCTTACACATGCCCGGGACAGTCTCCCTATCCCCTCCCCGACTCATCGATCTTCTCCCCCTACAGTGCCCACCTGACTCAGCCCTGGACGGGGAGAAGAGCACCCGTCACTGGATCCCACTCGTGGGTACAGCTCTGCATCTCAGGTCGTGATCCTCCTCTCCTCACCAAAGTCAGGCACAGCATGAATTTAACCAGATGAACTCAGTTTGGTTTTCCCCCTCCCCTTGCTGTTGTCACACAAAGGATGACATGATTTAGGGTACCCTTGAGTTGACCTGTCCTCTCCTTGTGCTGACAGCACCTGCCATAGTTCACCTCCCCATCAGCTTTTCCTCTGATCAAGTGTCACAGCCTGTGCTCATCCTAAGGGGCATTACCATTTGGTGTAGTGTGCACACCAGGCTTTCAGCCGTGACAAACGAGACGTCCTGCTGATGTGACAGAATCACTCTCCTCTGTGAGGGACAGTGAATCACAAGTATGTACACCCCGTGTTTGGTATATCTCCTTTTGAGTCCCTTCTTCCTAGTGAGGGAACCCCCACTTGATGTGGTATTGACACCATAGCAGGAACGTTCTTCAGCTCTCAGAAGCATTTTAGGGGATTTGGTTTGGTTTCTTTGTTTTCCAGGGCTGGCAAGTTGTCTAGGTTGTAACGGGGTAACAGTGGTGTCCCTTAATTTGGCATGTCTGTAGCAGAGCGTCATTCATTTTCCTTCCACACAGAGTTCCTCCTCTTGTTATTTTCAAAGTGTAACCATTAAGTTTCAGAAGCAGAGGCATTGGCGATGTAACTGCTGTGGGAAATTTAACTGTTGTCTGCCCTCGGGACGTGGTGGTGGCATTGGGAAGGGAGAAAGTGATTGCCACACGCCCCGCGTCAGGGCTGAGAGTGGGGTACTGGGGAATTCAGGGATGGCCACGGGGTCACGAATGGTAAGACTGATGAAGACCAGCGGTGCTGGTGGCACTGGGGTTCTGTTAGAGGCCTCTGTGTCCCCCTGCTGCCCTGGAGAGAATTATAATACTGAAATAACAGAATCTGGTTTTCTATTGCTTTAAAAGAACTCTGGATTTTACCACATGAGACATTGAATTCAGATGGTAAATCTCTGGAAGGAGCCGAGTTAATCCGTCCTCCCCATCTAGGAAGGGTGCGGGGAAGTTTCGGATCAGCCAGGGTTGGGGATAGCGGGGTGTGTTCGGGTTTTATGAGGGAGATGCCAGGCCACGGAGATGGTGGAAAGGAGGCTCGGCGTTGGGGCAGCCCCTCGCTCCAGCCTGGAGGGCTGGCCAGCGGACGTCGGCGGCAGGCCGGCTCCCTGAGAAGGACGCGTGTCTAGAGAAAGAGCCGTGTGTTCCTGGAGGCAAGGATTAGGGATGCAGGACACTGAGCACTGACCCTGGAGGCTTTTTCAGAACAGAGCTGACTCTGCTGGGGGAGGATGGAGGTCTAGCCAATCCTTGACTTACAATGGTCAACTTAAACCATCTTCTGACTTTATAGTGGTGTGATAACAGTACACATTCAGTGGAAACCATACTTTGAATTTTTTTTTTTTTTACAGATTTTATTTTTTTGAGAGGGGCGTGAGAGAGAGCACGAATGTGTGCATGAGTGGGGGAGGGGGAAGGAGCACAGGACAAGGGAGAAGCAGACTCCTGGCTGAGCAGGGAGCTGATAGGCGACTCCCTCCTAGGACCTGGAGATCATGACCTGAGCAAAAGTCAGACACCCAACCTCCTGAGCCACCTGGGGTCCCATACTTCAGATTTTTAATCTGGATCATGCAGTCCTGTCCTCTTTTGATGCTGGGCGACGGCAGGGGCTGCAGCTCCCGATCAGCCAGCGATCACAGGGGTTAGCACCCTCTACATTTACAACCATTCCATACCCAGACCACCCTTCTGCTTTCACTTTCAGTACAGTACTCGATGAGGTACATGGGATATTCAGCACTTTATCACAAAGTAAGCTTTGTATTAGAGAATTTTTGCACAACTGGAGGCTAATGGAAGTGTTCTGAGCACATGTAACACAAGCTATAGGCTAAGCTATATGTTCAGGAGGTTATTTTATTAGCACTTGACCCTATGAATATAGTAT